ATATTAGACAAAGGAAGTCCGAACTAATGAAATACACCACAAAACATTGTCAACCACCTTAAAACAAACTTTTTCATGACGCGTACATTTTATCCAATATGGATATTTGGAAAATTTTGTCTCACACAAGAACAGAAACAGAGATACATAGTTTCGGAGCAGTTCATTACAATTTATTTTGTTGTTCAACATATTGCACAAATTTTGAAATTGATACATTATAATAGGTACATGAAAAAGAATTTGTTTTATTTGTATTTCTTGTAGAACGGAAATTTCATGATACTGCTCTGGATTGCCATCCTCTAATTTGCTACATACTAACAAGTCATATGTTACTCTCTTAACAAAACTAGTTGTTTTACGGTCCCTGTTTGAGGTTCGACTGAAAAATCATATCCTAGTCAACCATTTTATGAACCCTGAGAAGATTTTGGCCATTCATGGCCTATATAAATTTATATGGTGATTCTGACGTAGTGTACAACATAATATTTACAACTAATAATTTCACCGATGTCATTTTGTCGTTTATGATTCGAATTTCGACAGTAAGTTTGAAATCATCTGCATAAAGTAGACACGAACTTTCGAGACGATATTATTGATGAATTTCAAAGAGGACCCAAATTTGTAAATTTTCTTCACACCTGCTTACTAACGGAGATCTATCTTTAGAACAAAAGGTGAAGAGTTTCAATACGTAAATACCTATTAAAGCTATAATATTTAAATTTTGCTGGAAATGTCATGACTCAATTTGTCGAAGGCTTTGGCGAACTCTATATAAATACAGTATATTTTTTATACATCCATAAACATCAATAAACCTGTCTTTTTTTATCGATGTATTCCTTTAATCGTGTATATAATTTTGAAATAATGACAGATTTTTGCATACAGAACGAATTGATAAATTGAGCAATGCATTTCAGAATAGCTGAAAATCTGTAGGAAATTTTATGAATAACGATCAATGGATTTTAAAGATGTTTTTGCATGCCTTGTACCATCAGTTCTTGAAGCAAACTTAGGTTTCAAATTTTTTAATGCTAAATCTAGATCTTTGTAGGAAACACTTTTGAATTGGATTCAAGAGCAGGTGTATATTACTTTACAGTAACACTGAGTTGCTTAGTAGTTGGATAATGAACTGATTTTTTCTTTATACAATTCAATTCGTTTAATGATGCAAAAAAAGTCCTGTCGAACTCAGAGTAACATAATATAGACGGTTTCCATATAAAACTCTGAAATAAGTGTTAATATCGGGTTTGAAGGCCATCGTAGTTTGGAACTGCATCCTAACGTTTTGCCAGAACAAGTGGCTGGCTTCTTCAGAGGTTTATTCATCTTGATGATTCACCGAAGACTGATGATTTCTAGTTCGTAGGATGTATTTATGTTGGCTCAGGTAGTCCACCTCTCTTTCTGATGAGTTGCTATTGGCCGAAGTGTTATTACCTGTTAATGACGTAACATTGCATTGCGTTTTGCCACTTTTGCATCTTTTAGTATGGGATTTCAAATCCGGTTAAGCGTTACCGCCTCCTCTTTTCTGTTGTAGTTTTCCGTACAAGCCGACTGTTGTATCCATCATTGGGGGCAAGTAGTTTCACATCTTCAAACATATTCGTGCGATCTCCTTCATTTAGTGCGTGTGGCGCTATTGCCGATTTGTTTATTTGACCTAATCTACACTTTCTCCGATGTTCATTCAGCCTTGTACCCATAGATCTTTTGGTGGTACCGATATAAACTCCGACAGATCTGATCATCGGAACTGTCGGAGAAAACGAAGTTACTGCAACGAATATGCTTACCATTCCAAACTTACTCTACTTATTTGGAGCTGAACAAAATCATTGGTGGAACAGCAGTTCCATTAGAAAACTATTAGGCACTCTTTATACCAGGAACAATTCAGAGAACATTTTGTTATACTTCTCATTTCATTATGGACGAGTGAAATCATGTCAAGAGAAATATGACGAACATCCCAACGAAAAACCTGAACTATTAAGGTGCGTATTCACCAAAAAAGCGAGCACGAGCGAGCATGAGCGAGCATTCGTGTATGTTTGCTCGTGTTCGCTTATGTTCGCTCGACATATTGATGTCTCGTCCACACCAGAGCGAATATCGACAAGTTCGTAGTCGTAGTTGTTCCATCTACTTTGTGCGAGTACCTTTTGATTTACCGCCTTCTTCTTGATCTTTTCTGAACGCGAACAAGCATACGTTCGCTTGCTTGCTAGCCCGTACTCACCAGACGATTATTGATGCAGAATGCTCGTTCACTCTTGTTCGCTCGTGCTCGCTTTTTTTGGTGAATACGCACCTTTACAGATGGTGGAAGGGATACATACTCTGAAGGAACGGAAGAGATAGTGGAATAAGCCCAGATACACTGCAGGTTTTCTCAGAAACGTGAGAGGAATGGACCAATCAACAGTTAATGAAATATTCTCTTTTTCCATTCCGAATATACTGAATGATCTTTCAATCTGTTTCAACAATGGTGAATATTTGCCACATAAGTCCATAAAAGATGACTCAATCATGAGTAAATAAAACACAAACCGTCAAACTAAAATTATAATCCAAAACTAAAATGAACAACATCTGCATAACAGTGAACTGCTTTTCGTATCAAAGCTATTTTGATATCAAATTGTTTACCAAAGTTTTTGCAATTTTTTTTAAGCTGTACCTACATTCTCACATTGTGAAATTTTTGGATAGGCACAACCAACAGGTGTGTGAATTTGGCAAGTGCTTTGGGTGGTGATACGGCCAAAGAGAGTCTAAGTTCTCTGAAAAATTCCTACAGGTAAACACTATATCAAACTAAGAAAATTCTTATAAAAATATGAGTTATTTTAGAAGGCACAAAGTTTGTTATAAAATTTAAAGTTTTATAGACAATATGCTGTAAAAAATATTTTTTATATATATATACCTAATCATAATTCAAGGAATGATTTGGTTAACAACTACAGACTGTTTGGAAAAAGGAGCTTTTGACACCAAAAAGGCAGTACTAACGCCAAGAAAGGTCGAATCAAATGAAAAATTATTATATCCAAAAGAACAAACTTGCGATTATTAGTTTCTGGTATAATAGGTACTTCAATAAAAGGATAATGATACAATGCATAAATCGCTGAAATGAAACTTCTGTTTTTCAGCGAGAAGTAAGGCAGATTGCATTATTCAGTCAGAAATAATACGGGAATCATGGAAAATTAGATTAAAAAAAGAGAATGACAGACGATTATATCTTACTGTTTACTCTAACAAAACATTTTTGTTTTCTGAACCCTGTTTTCCAAAAGGCAAAGTTGGGTATTGAGAAACTCTCTCCGGAAAGTTTCAAAACGGTTTGAACCGAAAAACAGTTCGATTATTCAGTAGCAAAAAACAATAAATATATATCCATACATTTCATAACATCAATACTGTGTAATTCTCTTCATTCTTCATGGTCATCGCATTTTTTTTCGACCGCCATGTTCTTCAGCTCGATCTTATCCTCTTCTTCGATATCGCTGTCACCATAACCCCAAATTTGGGGATGAGATCCGTCGCCGGTTTTCTCCGCGCGCCGCAGTATCATATTCTTCGAAACACTTTTCAGCTCGTAGGCCCAACCCAATTTCGCGAAGAAGTCTATGAACGTTGTCGAGGGATTGTAGGCGTTTCCCAACTCTCCGGTCTTGTAGTCCCACGGGAAGACGTGGTGATAGTTGTGCCAACCTTCTCCTAGTGCCGCAAGAGACACCGCAAGGTTTTCGACCGGGCTGATATTTCTGAAAATGAATTAATGCTAATTATTCGGTTACAAGGCTCGCGGATATTTCTGAAAACAAAATTAAACAATGAATTTGTGTAAACTGATCACGAAAAGGGGCAGAAGGTCACAAATAAAAGCATTGCCATTTTCTCCGACAGCCAGGAGGCAATTAAGGCGCTTAGCTTCTCAAGACTGATGGGAAGCTGTCTGAGCATACTCAAGGAGCTAAGTACCCAAAATAGGATCTCTCTAGCTTGGGTACCCGGACATGAGAGTCACAAGGGCAATGAGGAGGCCGATGTTCTAGCCCGTGAAGGCGCATCCAAGGCAATGATCGGCCCAGAACCCTTCTGTGGGGTAGCGAAAGCATGTATAGACATCCATAAATTCATGTATGCAAGCCAAATCGATAGATTGATGGAATAAGCTCTACGGAATGAGGCAGGCGGAAGATTTCATAAAGAAACCATCGCCCAGATTCACGGAAGACCTGCTAAACCAAAACCGTAAGATTGCAAGGGTAGTGGTGGATCTACTAACGGGTCATAGACGATTCAGGAAACATGAGCAACATGGGTCTGACAGAAGAAACCCAATGCAGGTTCTGTCGAAAAGAGGAAGACGCCGCACTGCATGTGCTCTGTGAATGCGAAGCGATAGCAAAGCTGAAACACGCAAGATGCGGGGAAGAGAAACCAGAGGCTGCCAGCTATATTAGGTGAATCAGGCCATGGGCCAGCTCCGCGACAATCTAATCTAAGCTGATCACGAATGTGAAGTCAAAATGTAGCGGTCTACACTACTTTCAGAGATACAGCTACTCAAAAGTCCAAACTAATTAAAAATCTTTTATTTCGGGGACTCTCTTATGGTTATAGAGACAGAGATAGAATGATGTTCTGAATATTTTTAATGCACTACTATTAGCTATCGCAAGGCAGCATTTTGGTTCTGGTGTTCATTTCACGACGAAAGTTTCCAATTCTACTTATCAAATTGAATGTATACTTCTGCCTCAATTTTATCAGGGTGGTCCCAGAAGTACACGGCCTGACCTAGAGATGACGGTAGTTGTTTGAAAAATATTACGGTATTAGAAAGTACACACCCTATAAGGCATATGTTTCAAGGTTGAATACGCTGCGTTGTTTAGTATTTGATTGGCAGCCATAGATAGCGAACTGTAATATATTAACGTTCAAAATTCGATCCTCCCGCCAATAGTCAAATATGTATGCGCGACACGTAGCCGAAGGGAAAATCACGACAAACAATATGAAGGTACAATATGTTAAGGTATCGTCCGCATATGTAACCGGCGTAAGCCGTTGGATGTCAAGTATTGATAAACGAATCAATCTGGACTCAACGTTATTTACATCTTCCCGCAAACATTACACGAACGTTTTCAGTGAATTTGTGAAAATGGAGAAAATTGGTAATCGTGTTTCAATCGTGACCCAATACAGAGCCCCAGGGCTCTGTAATGGGTCCTCTGTTGTTTATAATATATGTGAACGATATACTCTATCAATTTTCTCCTAAACATTGCATTTGTTTTGCTGATGATACGACGATCATCAATCAGCATAAAAACATTCAGAAGTTGCACGCATTATCTGAGGAATCTGGCAAAGAGGCTGAGAAGTGGTTTGCATCAAACAATTTGAAACTAAATATCGAGAAATCTCGAAGTATTATGTTTAAAACACACGTTGATAAGTCAGAAAAGGTTAGTACAAAACTTTTAGGTATCATTTTAGATGACACCCTCTCATGGTCAGCTCATATTGACCAACTCTGAAAAAAACTTTCCAGCCAGTCATTTCTCCTGAGACAATTGAACAAATGTCTGAACGGCCATGTTCTCAAAATGGCATACCATTCCTTGTTTCAGTCCCACTTGAGCTATGGCATATTATTGTGGGGAAACTCTACTCAGTTAGAACGAGTTTTTCGCCTCCAAAAGAGGGCAATGAGAATTTTAGATGGTGCTCCCTGTAGAGAAACGTGCAGACCACTGTTTAAAAAATATAGGATATTGACCCTACCTTGTTTGTTTATTTATGAATCAGTCATTGAGATTCACAAAACGATGAATGAATATATGACACACTCTGATGTGCATAATTATCCAACGAGAAATGCAAATCAGTTAAAACCTCCTCGTTACAGACTTACTGTTTCATCTCGCAACTCTCTCGGGTTGAGTCTTTACAACAAACTCCATACTGATATCAAAAATTCCAATCTTCATCATTTCAAACGTGGAGTGAAAAATATCTAATTAGAGCTTATTTTCGATGAAGTGAGAGAATATTTGGAAGCACCACTTCTCACGTCTTATCAACACAATTAATCTCTTTATTTGTTAGTAAATTACGTTAGGCTTTTTTGTACTTTTACCACATTAAACTTGATAGAAAATAGTCATTTTGTGAATTTTAAATTTTATACATTGAATTATTTATGTATACATATTGGTATATACACATTTTGTATGACCTGCTACAAATGTAATGTAACGTAGTCAAATAAACTTACTTACTTACTTACTTTTATTTGAGTTGCAGAGTGAAGTGAAGAACAGTGAAGAAAATCCACAAAGCGGTACTGAATGATCGTGAGCTAGCAGACTTAGTGCGCATTTCAAAAAGTGCGATACATCGTATATTATCTGATAATTTGGACATGAGAAAGCTGTGTGCAAGATGGGTGCCGCGTTTGCCGACATTCGAGCAGAAACAGTGTCGTGAAGATGTTTCAACTGAGTGTTTAGCGAAGTTTCACAGCAACGAAGCACAATTTTTGCGTCGTTTCATAACCATGGATGAAACATGGGTCCATCTCTTTACACCCGAGACAAAAAAACAATCAAAACATTGGACTCAAAAGGGACAACAGGCTCCAAAGAAGGCAAAAACCGTTCCACTTGCAGGCAAGATCATGGCATCGGTTCTTTTGGGATACGCGTGGGATAATTTGCACTGACTATCTTGAATAAGGTTAAACTATCAACGGCGAGTATTATGCGAACTTATTGCAACGTTTGAGTGAAGAAATCGAGCAAAAACAACCGCATTTGGCTAAGAAAAAAGTGTTGTTTCATCAAGACGATGCACCAGCTCACAAATCTATTATCGCAATGCCTCTAGTTTTGTAATTATATCTACTTGCCTTTCAGCTGGTCTAGGTGTATTTCTGATTCTTCCATAATTACACGTTTGCAGGTGGAGGAAGCAGCAAAAAAATTGGAAGATTCTAAATTTTATATTACAGAAATTAATGTTGAAACCAACAAGTTATATGTTGGATTCAATCTGAAGTTTGAAGTGATCATGAACAGACGCCAAACAGAAGTTGAGAGACGAACTGTAGATACTTGAGGGTTGGCGTGGAAGTTACAAAGCTGAGAATCAAACCCTTCAAACCACAAAGAAGCATCCCAACAACCACTTTTCAGAGACTAGTTCTCCGGAGTATATTTAAAAGTAGCTAAAGTCACCAATTTGTGAGACTAAAAAAAATTTCCAAAGACAACCGGCAGACATGAATAATCTAGATCTGGATTAAAGGAAAAAGGAAAGCCGTGAGATGTAATACCAAAACCTTCCTGTAGACTATCAAAGAATTCCGATAGTGAATGAAATATAACTACAATAAAGTGCTAGGATAAGAACCAGCAAAATGGTTGGTAAGCTTATCGTCGAAGAAAGCTGTTAAGATTCGACAAAAAGGGCCCGAGATCGGTAAAGGTATTTCTTACAAGACATTGGCATCTGAGGTATATTTTCCGTAAAACTGGCAGTTCCAACAGGAAAAGTTGCTACTACAGTGGCCAAGTTGTTAAAATTACAAAACATTAGTTTTGTTGAGCAGAAAGCTTAAGTTCCTTTACTGGAGTGGTCAGCCCCAGAAATTTATCGACTTAAACAGAAATAAATTAAAGCAGAGCCCATGGACAGAGCGTTTGTGATTCAATGTCGTACAGCGCTGTTTAGCCTTGCAAAAGTCTCATTGGTGGTACTAGCCTAAGCCATAAATGAATTTTTTGGGCTGAATTGTCATTAACGAACAGCCTTGAGTAGAATTAAGCCATCTATAGGATTGACAAAAAAACTAAAACTTTGCTTATCCAAGATAGACAAGGGTCCAACAGCGACCTCGCATTGGTATCATGAGTGAAGCCAGAATGAGTCACAAACAGATTGTAGAATTGTTAGGCAGAAAAGAAAAAAACAGCGATGTTGGATCTTGTGCCGACTTTTCCATAATTTATTTCATCATTTTAGAAGTTCAATTAACATTACATTAGCATTACAAATAGAACACATCCACACATCAGATTGAAGTTAATGAAAAATGAGGCACGAAATTTTTACATGAAACTTTTTTCAGGAACAGTAGAACACACTCTGTGTCCAGGAATATCTTTACGAGTTTTTTTTAGGAAATTAAAATGAAATATCAATTTGTTATTTTATATACTCACTTATCATAAGGTTTCTGTCCCCACATATGAGCTACGCTGTTGACGAAGAAGGCGATATTCAAGGTAATTGTGAACCTCATAGTGAAGTTTATCCAGAAGGAGATCCATAAATTTTCGTTCCAATAATGTACGGGAATGAGCACTGGAAGCAATATGTTGAAAATGAGGAAGAGTGGAGGGTACAACCTGAAATAAATCAGTGACAAAAGTTGAGGTATCATTCTTACTGAAATGAAGTTTGTAAGCATCAGGAAATCCTCCAATAATTATTTTTTATCAGTTTCATTCGAAATCTGTTTCAGTTGAATACAATTTGAGAATACCAAGATGAAACTATAGATAAAGGGTCTTCCAATAGGGATTTCCGAACTTTTACAATTGATAACGTCCATCTTGTTGAGGCTACATCTGTCAAATTAATTGTCAGTCATTCAGTTTGTTTTGCCAAATCATCATGGACGGATATAGCAATCAACAATACGTGCAAATAAAAAAATTGTTTTATCAAAATGGGTGTTCTGTTCGGGCAACGTACCGCGCGATTCGCCCATTTAATGCTAGCCATAATCGTCCTAGCGAGAGGATTATTCGTAATGTGGTGGATAAAATTGGATCCACTGGTTCAGTAAATGATCGACCAACACCAGTACGTCGAAGAAACGCAATATCTGCCGAAAACATCGCTACTGTCTGTGAGAGTGTGCAGGAGAATCCAAAGCAGTCGATTTCGCTTCGCTCACAAGAACTCCGCCTTTCGCAGTCCACAACTGGCAAAAGACCATAAACAACGGTGTGTGTTCGCTGAATGGACTCTGGAGAAGTTGACAACTGACCCGAATTGTCACCGAAAAATCATCTTCAGCGTACATTTTGAAACGTTTACTACTAATTGAATAATTTCTACAAATCTAGAAGACCTGCGACAGAGAATTGTTTGGGAATGCCAGTTTCTGAGGTATATTTGACCACTTCATCCGTTGATTGTATTGCCATTGATATCACTGTTGTTGATCTCCTCAATGAAATAGGCGACAGCGAATTTTCTGTTTTTATTTAAATAAAACGTTTCACATTTAATTTCTCAATAACAAATGAACCGATTTGGAAAAAAATTACAGAAGTAATAGAGGGACAAAACACGTTTCAAATGATGTATCAATGGACCCCCCATGCCATTGAAAAAAATAGGTGGGGTAGTTGCTGACCGCAGGGGGGTGAAGTTTCGGGTCTGATTTCCATATCAGAATTAACCCCCCTCGGAATAAAAATTGACGTTCTTTTTGAAATTTTAGATTACACATCCGTTTCTGACTTACATGGGGGTCAAGTTTTCGTTGAAATGCTCTGTATGTATATTTCCTATATTCAACACTTTCATCCCAAAACTATGTATATATTATGTTTGCAAATCATTTAAGACTTACTGTTCGACTCAAAGTGTTTCTTGAAGAGGTGCCTCATCGTTCAAAATGTATGAAAAATTAAGTAGGTATGAAAAAAAAAAAATTGTTTTACCACTGACGAACAAATAATACCGCTCAGATTTACTATAATTTTCTGTGAGTTCTTATTCATGATGAGATGAAAGTACAACAATAATCAGTCGTATGTAATTTTATTGACATCTTTAGAGCTCAACAGTTCAATAAGCAATCGTTTACACTTTTGAAAAACAGGTACAGATACTGTTGTAAATTATATGTTTATATAACTAACAAGTAATTTGGCAGAAGAATAAATAAGCAGCTATCTCGAAAAACAAATCATTGAAATTGAATTGAAATGCTTTATTCAAATAGGATACATCCTAATATACAACAATGATAGTAATGTTAACATTAATATACATATAAATACAATAATACAAAACAGATCTACTTATATTTGTTAATAAGTAGTCTTACCTACGATAATTGAAAATACAAAAAAAAGATAAAAAATATCACATAATTCCTTAATGGTTTCTTGAATGGTCTAATAAATTTCTTTTAAACAGAATAAGACTGTTAGAAGACTTTACATTTTCAGGTAGACTGTTATACTTAATAAATCCTTAACATTAATGTTTTACTGTTGAATGTTTTTGTTTGATTATTTACATACACATTATTTTTTATTCTAGTATTATACTGGTGGATTTGATTATTAAAAATTACGAATTTGTCAAAATATGAGGGTAGAAGGTTATGTAACATTTTGTAAATGTAAATAATCGTTAAATATGTAAGTCCACTTCCTATAGACAACCATTCTAGAGATATGGATATATGGATATATGGGTACTCCTGTCACATCTCAAAATAATCCTCATTGCGCGATTCTGTAGTTTTTGTAGTATTTTTATTTCATTCAAATCACTTGTGTATAGAAGAGTGGGACAATATTCAAAATGTGGTTGTATAATTGTCTTATATACAGTTATCCGTGATTGCTTAGTTAAGTGTCGGGATACTCTTGTGAAAAAATATAATTTCTTCAAATTTTTTTTCTGTATGTAGGTGAAATGGTTATTCATTGATAGATGATTGTCTAACATGAATCCTAGATATTTGAATTCAGTAATGAGCTCAATTTTATCATTTTATATTTTTATTTCAATTTGATTTAAATCTAATTATCTGTATTTAAACGGTGTAGTGAGTATCGTAGCCTTTCTTTTGTTTACATTTAGCTTCATTATTTGATAAGCAGTTCACATTTGGGCTAGGTAAATTAACAAGAGATGCAATAACGGTTATGATGTCTAATATCTACAAATAGGTTGATAAAAATATACAAACACTTTGTGCTCTCCCTGATTTTTCCGTAGCTTCTAACACAGCGTGTTACGGAAAATTACTTTATACGCTGGAAATCATTTCGCAAATTAACTGAACGCAATGATTCATTGCTTGAGAAAGAAAGCAGCCCGGAGCGATAAACTACGATATACTCCAAGGAACAGTTCATGGACTCGTGGGCTATCCTCAGCGAAACTGCCGAACAAAACAACAGTAAAAATGCTACATAATTCACTATCAGAGCAACAAGAATAATTCACGATGAAATCATGCATTTTGCTGCAAAACTCTATTTTGAAAATCCACCAGAGCTAGTTCTAAAATTATTTGGAATTGTTTTGATAGTGTTTCTTTTGAAGTTATCCCAAGTTGAAAGTCTCCGTTTAGCGTTAGAGCATAATTTTTCAACAACCTTGTGTATAACAGAAAAGTACTAATAGTTTAAAAGTGATACTCACTTTTTCTGCCACATGACTATGGGGTCAGCTTCTAAATCGCTCATATCTACCGATTTTCTTTTTTCCACTACATTGGGATGGGGCGTCAGAACTAGCCATCCGACGTGTGAGAAGAAGAATCCCCTTTTTGCGTTGTGCGGATCTGCGTCTGTTTCGCTAATATACACGTATATGTCAATTGTACCTCGCGTTGTACCCAACAACAGAAAAAATATATCGGTATCCTAGAATCGACATGTAGAAAAAATTAAAAAGGAATATGGATTTCCAGAGATGGAAAACCAGGAATTATGAGTGTTACACATCAAGTTCGCGACAAAAATCAAATCTCACCTTCAATAATGACTAAAATACAGGGGTGTCGTCATCTCAAGTGTATCACAGGGTATGTTGACAATTCTTCTAGGTGGTGATACAGGTTTTGTTTTATGATGGTCTCAGATATTATCAGTGTAATATTACAATTAAGACTATTTACTGTCTATGGGGGAATTGACGAGACCTGACTTGGAATGCTAGTGTTGAGTTGAGCCTTCGATAGAAATGTGGATCTAGTGAAGTGGATCTTTTTGAAGAGATTCTCAAATTTGTGATGATATTCACGAAGCAGAGAGTTTGACGAAACCACCATCATTCGTAACAGTGTCACAAATAATGATATAATGACAATTCGATTTCGCAGTTAGTTTGTCCTTGAAAAATGAGTAAAAAGCATCCTCTTTCTTTTTGTCATGTTCTACTCTAAACCTGTCAAATTTGACATTAGTTTTGGAAATTCTTAAAAAAATCAATGTTCTGGAAATTTCGAAAAATGCCAAAGAAAAATCTTTTTGAATCTTCCGCATTCGATTCGAATGAAACATGATTTAAATTTCATGATTTTAATCAATACGAGACCAGAAAGAGAAATGAATACAACCTCCAGGAATTCGTCTTTGTTAATCTAGTTTTTTCATTTCATTGTTAAACTGAATCGAACTTTCAATTTATGGACGTTAATATGTCGATGATCGAATAAACTTATTTATCTTCATTTTTGAAAGATTTTTATCCAGTTTGATTAGTTTTTTGACCAATAATTCAGTTGCGAACTAACCCGAAATAGGCTGAAAACGCGGTAGGCTGGGTTTTAGACTGTCACTCGGGCTAAATAAGGTCTACGCCTGTATCAAAAATCAAATCTCTGCTCTCAAAAATATTCAAACTACAAGGGTGTCTTCATCTTAAATGTGTCACAATACACAATACAGTGCATTACATTTAAAACGTGCCACCCTGAATAACTTTTGGTACAGCGATTTTCAGGAAAAATAAAAAAAACACGTCAACAATAGTATACAGGAGAACACATTTTGACATATTCACATTTGATGTTACTTCTCCTATCGCTACTTCAGAGCATGCCCCCATTTTTTTATTGGATCACCCTATATTATTTCACATCATCAGATGTTTCATGATAAGCAGATTTCAACAAAGTCAGAAGCTTATGGTTCGAGAGCTAAAAATTATTTGAGTTGAAAACGAGCAAACCTGAATAACTTTTGAAACAATGATTTGCAGGAAAAATAAAAAAAAACAGGTCAACAATTATATAGGAGGCCACATTTTGAAATACTCGTTCTAGAGACAAATATGGAAGCCATAAATCAGAAAAAGCTATTTTTTATTATTTCTTGAATCAAAATCTGATGACTGGACAATGAGAAGAAAAAGATTTTGAATAATAAATGTTCAAACACGTTTCCCCCAACTTCCATACAATGGTACAAACGAGCTTCCATTGTCGCCCTCATATGGTTGAGAATCTCTGCGGTGCCTCTTGATATTCTCTCCCAAATCTTCTAATGTTGCTGATTCTATCTCATACACTTTACAACTTCAAATGACCCCATAGAAAAAACTCTACAGGAGTGAGATTCGGAGACCTTGGTAGCCATTCCGTAGGACCTCTTCTGCCAATCCAGTGACCAGGAAAATGATCATCCAAAAATTGTCGCACTGGAGCTGCATAATGAGGAGGTGCACCATCCTGCTGAAAAACTATTTCGTTTTCGAATGAGTTTATATCCTCGTCAATTGCCCTATTGATGCACGATGGTATTATTCTATTCTCCAACATATCCAAATAGTTATCAATAGAGAAATTATCAACGATAAAATCACCTAATATTCCTGCCCAAACATTCAGTTTTTTAGGTTGTTTGGTATGAACTTGAGGGTATAAATGAGGATTCGTATTAGTCCAATATCGAGAATTTTGCCGATTCACGTCTCCATTCAAACTAAAGGTACAGATATCCGAAAAACAAATTTTATACAAGAAATTCTAATGCAAGTTGATCCGTTATTAATGAGACTTTCACAAACCTCAATACGTCTATCGAAATCATCTCCGTTCAATTAATGAACTAGACACTAGACTAATCTTATATAGATGAAATTTGTACTTATGAAGGATCCTGGAAACATTTGTAGGCCTGATTTCTGATTCTCGAGATGAGAGATTGCGAGTCCAACGTTCCCTAAAACTGCAGTACAAATAGCTTCATCGTTGACAACTCCTGAACGGTTATGCTTTTTATTGTTAACAGATCCAGTTTCCATAAATTTGTTCAATAATTCCGAAACGTATTTGTGTCGTACGTTTCTTCCTGGATGATTAACATTGAGCATAAGGGCAGCAGCTCTAGCACTATTACCATTCTGGTAGTTCAAACTCACTATTGCAATCCGTTCTCGAAGCGTATAAACTATTGTTTCTCAAGAATTCATAAAAATAGAAACACCAATTGTAATGAAGAGAATATCGAATTCAAACTCAACTAGTATACTTCAAAAAAGCCCTAAAAATGAATCTCACCTTTCACACAGCATTCAACATGTTTGCAAATGAAGCATGGTTTCACAGGATTTGTCATGGAAAATCGAACAAAAAATCTCTTCATCTGTAAGTTCCCTTCAGCCCTGTAACTAACATGAAAATTTTCCATCTAAACAACCTCAACACACGGCAGAACGAAATAGCGCTGATTCTTCCTATACAAACATTTTTATCTCTCCATGTACATAGAGGTTAACAAACAAAAATTTCCAAGTAGAATGATCAAACAAAAACAAAACAAGACACGATATTTCGTGTTATTGTGGTGCGAGTCTGAATAAAAAATGTCCTACATACTTCCAATCGATCCAAGAATGGATCGATGCACATTAGTTAAATGTCATGAGTTTTAAGTGGGAATTAATAACATGAGTGAAAGGTGGCGCTAACCAGGACCGGATTCACACACAGGGTCGGACTGGTCCGGAAAGACCCTGGTACCTCTCCACAATTATAAATTTTCGATCACATGTATTATTGAATAAATATATAATTTCAGTTAGTTATAACAAATCTCAACAGTTTTTGCATCCCAAGTAATTATTTAAACTGAGAATGATAAAATATAAAACATGAATCATTGTGATTTCAAATATTTCATGATCAGTTTTTTATATTTCTTCATTATTGAAATATATAATTACTATATGGCGATCTGCCTTCACCACTATTTCGAAACCATTGGGAAAACTTCTGAATAAAACGACGAAATGTAGTTGAAGAGAATCTACAGAGAATCAACTGAACATTCAAATAAACTGAAAACATTATTGCATTTGAATGGGATTCGCTTTGAAAACTGGCAATTCGTTCCTCCATTCCCATCACTATTACATATATAAAATAATTCCTATTTATCGAAATTGGCAATCGTTGCATCTCGAACAATAGTATAATTATTAATAATGAACTACCAGCCAATTTGAAACACATGAAATTCAAAGTACGTTTAAAAAGTGTATATAGGCATAGATCATGTATGTTCCCAAATACTATGCTTAGTTGTTTTCTATCATTTATTTCACCCATAAAGGAGATGTATACTTGTCAAATACATAACTGACCTTACGCGTACTGTGAACGATCATCAATATTGTTAATCGGTGAAACGGATCTGAAGCTTTCTTCTAGAAACAAATTCTTATTCAAAATGCGGACAGACTTTCGCTGAAAAGAATCTAACATTTATGCTGAACTTTTATTATTAAAGCCGAAAGCTAAATTGGCTATGTAAATGTTGGTGTTTGTTCTGTAGTAGGTACTTTAAATTTTCTGGATTACAAAAATCCATCGATAATAAATGCCATGTGTTATTGATATGTACATATATCTGTGTGACAGAAATTACTAGAACTGATATAAATAGATATTTGAACAGGTGCGTTATATCATATCGATTAGTATGTACATTAGCCGATAAGATGAATGACAGTGAGAGGCCAGGAATGCTAGAGACACTCATTTACAACAATGAGTTTGATAAAAAACGACTTCAAGAGAAAAATTAACATAAAAAAAATTGATGATTACGCAAATAATAACTGGCAAACAAAAAATTGTATGTGTCCACCTTGGTAGGGCGATAGCCTGATGGGTTGATGGTAGGACGGTAGCCTGGTGGGTTGACGTGGGCGATTTGCTCGACACACTCAATCGACCGCTGTGTGAACCGGTGGTTCGAACCGCAAGGCCGAACGATCGATTTTCACTTACTATCGTCCAACCAGTGTTAGGAATCAAACTTTGACAGGTAAGACCTGACAAATTGTTTCACAACCCTAGAATATAATGTCAATATCTTCTACTACAAAATGGCGGAACTTCTAATAACTACCTGAATACATTGACATTTAACTACATGATATGAGGTAATAAGCTTGGGATCAGTTCAGAAGATGCTCGAAATGGTTGCATTAAACTTCTTGACATATGAACAGCTCATTTGATATTTCACGCCGAACATTTTCGAACACAGTAATGTCAATATCTCTACAAATATTTATTATTCTCTGCCGTATATCCAATATACAAGCAGGTCCAGTTTCGTACACCTTTTGCTTCAAATAGCCCCATAAAAAAGTCCAAAGGTGTCACATCTGGCGAGCGGGCTGGCCAATCTGTAGGACCTCGACGGCCAGTCCAATGATCGGGAAAAGTAGTATCCAAATAGTTTCTTGTCTGGAGTAACGTGGTGGTACTCCATCTTGTTGAAATGCAATATTCATATCGAATTCATTAGGACTCGATTCTACGATTTCAGTGATGAGAGGGTCAACAGTAGTTTCCAACATATTCAAATACAGTTTTTCTTCAAATGGTAACTTGTTATCCGGAGTTGACGAAATAACAAAACTAGCTATGGATAACTCATTTGTACCACATTGATAATCTCACTGCCAAATTTCATAGTTTTTGGGGTTCACATGCGAAGACTTCAGTCACAATGCTGTGTTTCAAATCTGTCACAAAATATTTTTAAATAGGTCGATAAATTGTAAAAATAGCCATGATTCTTGTCCATGTCCATCTGATATTTTCCAAAAGACTATTTTCAGAGCTGATTTCACTGAAAATACCTATTCGAAGTAGACGTGATACTGAAATATTTACTACACAATTTTATGCGACCAATTTTTCACTGTTTTCACCACTCAGGAGAATACAAATATTTGTCAACAAATATTAATGCTCTTGATTCTTTTTCCATGAGTGTAAAAGAGTTGCCTGGAAGGTACTGATGGACGATAATAATTGAATTTCACTGTTTCCTCTCGTTATTTCTATATTGATTTCAGATCGTGAGTTCACTGAACTTTGTCATATTCATTCGGTTCCCTTGAATGAATGAAAACCCAAAAAAGAATGATTAATACTTGTATATATCAACTGAATGATGGATAAAACGTATGGGTGACACGGAAAGATCTGGATATAAAGAGTAGGAAATAAAAAGTGTAGAGATTCCAAGTCACGTTAGTTCACGACGTTTCGATTGTTAGTATCTACAATCGTCTTCGGGTTATGACTGGACTGATTATAGGTCGTTGAAATACTTTCACTTATGCCTGCTTTCCATTTTCCGCTTCACTGATTCCGTAAGAGATGACCGTTTTGGCGGGAGTTGGCCATTTTTCGTTTGATGATGGGTTTCCATCTGTTGCGTATTTCTACGCTGGCCTGGATGAATACGTTGTTGGACAACATGTATGCGGCTTCCTTGAATTTTCTCCTAAACCAATGTTCCTCTCTGCAATGCAAACATTCAATGGCCTCTTAGTTTCACCAATATAGGATTTTCCGCACTCACAGGGTATCCGGTAAATGCAATTCTTGGAATCGCAGTCCGCGTTTGGGGGCCTGGTTTTCGTGAGGCTGCTACGTATAGTGTTACCGGATCTGAAACAGGTTCTAATGTTGTACTTGGAACCAATTCTTCTTATCCTCTCCGATAATCCTCTGATGTAGGGAAGTGCAAGCACTGGTTGTGACGGCTTCTCTTCCTTGCGAGGCTCCTGCTGTCTTTTAGCCAAAGTCTTTTCTACCATCGCTTTGAAGTATCCATTCCGCTGAAGATCATTATTGATGATGTCTAGTTCCTTCTCGAGACCTTCCTTTGTATTACAGGGCCCAAAAGCACGATCTAATAGAGTCTTGATGATTCCTGTTTTTGTCGATTGATGGTGGTTGGATTCGTGGTTCAGATACTGTCCCGTAAGAGTGGGTTTTCGGTATATAGATGTTTCCCACTTAGTGTCGGTCCTCTTCACCAAAACGTCTAAGAATGGCAATTCGAATCGAAATGGCTACTCCAAAGAGATGGTAGAAGAGACTTTGGCTAAAAGACAGCAGGAGCCTCGCAAGGAAGAGAAGCCGTCACAACCAGTGCTTGCACTTCCCTACATCAGAGGATTATCGGAGAGGATAAGAAGAATTGGTTCCAAGTACAACAT